TGATTGTCATTTACAACCGGTGCAGGAAGAAGTCAAAGAAGGATACCCTAAGTTCTTACAGTTATTGAAAGGAATGAAGAGCAAATCCATTGCTCCATAGGATATTTTTCCGGTAGATTATAATCTACCAGTGATTGTGGGTGTGCTGAGCGAAGCCAAGGCGATGATGACCTCCATTGTGGAGTTTCTGTTGTCTCTGTTCTCCATTCCCTGGTTGGAGTCTTGGAGAGAAGATCCGACGAAGGGGTCATTCGGGTTAAAGCTGATCCAGTCGAGTCGCAAGGGCTTTTATGACATTAGTGACTAATCGACGGTTCAGAGTGCAAATAAAAGATTGGAGACTCTGGAAATCACCATTGAAGATATTGAAGTTGAGCTTGATTGCATGTTAAGAAGGTTGATTCAGGCAAGGGTTTGCTTCTTAACTTATTAATGGAGATGATCCTAGAAAATGGGACTCCTATGACTTGGGATTTGTTCATATCCAATTGGATTGTCACTGACTTGCCAAAACAGGTTGGTAGATGGCTGGATTTTGTCTTCCAAGAACCTCATTCATGTAATATTAACTCTTTGGTTCTTTGCCAATAAGAATGAACAATCCTCACATTCGTTCCTTCCTTGACTGGAGATTATAACTCTCTCTCATTCCCTTACCCACCCCAAGCATGTCATTTAACTGAAAACCAAGGCCTTTGATTTCTGCAGATAATTGGTGCTAGCAATGGTTTCTGTCTTCCAATGGTTACTTTCTGCAAACAGCTGTATCTTCTAATCTGAAATAATGCTTTATGCTTGTTCATGTTTAGTTGGACAAGGAAGTTTCTTAAGGAAATGCCAAACGCGTAATCTTGGGGTTTAATTGTAAAATATCACATACAGCTAGATACATGCAATCTCAGGAATCCCCGTGAACTTAAATATGAACAGTTTTAAGCAAACATCTTGTAATTCAATTATTTATCCACTTGTATCTTGCGTGTGTCTATTAAGGTTTCAATAAGCAAGAGAGTCAAGACAATTGAATATTTGCCACTTGAATAAGCCGGGGAGCTAAGACACCTAAACTAGTACCTCAATTGTACGGTGCATGTTCTAATTCATAAAAGATGGGTTCGAAATGTTTCCCCTCTAAGTATGACATTCAAGTCCATCTCTATGATCTCACCTTCACTGTCTAGGCAATCTGTCATACCTCTAGACCAAAACATAAAGAAACAATTTATAATGTTATCTAACTACAAGACCACAGAAAGCTGAATCCAAAGATATATCAAAAATGCTTCAACTAATGCTTTATCCGTGTTCAACCCCACATTGTTAAAACCAGAGGGTGAGTGTAAATAGGCACAGAAACACATTCATAGATTGAAAGAGATTCCATCCTTACAAACTTTGTCAAAAGGAAAGAAAATGGAAAAAAAGTCAATAGTTAACATTAACATGTAATTCATAACTTTAAGCTCATTACAATCCTTTTTCAACAATCACTTTATTCAGAAGAAGACTGATGAAAGAAATTCCACATGACAATTGCCCATCACAGACCATAATCAGGATGCCTGCAATGTTTGCAACATAAAATATCTTTCATTCTTTTCCAACTAAAACAGGAATAAAAGCGGTAGGAAAACGTTCAAGAGCAAGCACTCCATATCAACTTTTATGTTAGTTAATAAAGTCCAGCAGAAAGCAAAAGTTGAGTACACCTTAATGATCATTCACCAGATGGATGAATAACCAAAAGCATTTCACCTCTAACATTTCTACATTTATTATAACGAATGGTAAAAGATTCACAACACACAACAACGAATCATCCAACAAATACAGGCATAAATAGGTTAGAAAAGAAAGGCTACCTAATGTTCACTCCCATGACCATGGTCATCATGTCCCTCCCAAGGATGTCGCCAGCCCTAAATGATACAGCATTAAAGTGAGACCTAGGCAAGAGAGTGTGATATAACAATTAATGGATCAATTAAGAACTTCCGAAAAAAATCAATTCTTACCAAAACCACGGGACCATCTTGCTTAGCTCTGTATAGTACCCAGAACCTGAAACACCAGATCACAAGAAACTTCTTGAGGCCTGCCACTATTCTACGTATCATCTAGATCAATTTTGCAAGCAGGGGAAAATAAAATTTGATAACCAAATTGTAAATATAAATGAATTGGATCCTAAAAAGCATGTGAACCAATTTATTATCATCGTCCCTAAATCTGGCTAGTGTTAATTTGACGCAGATGTCCCTCCTCCACCTAGACCCCTCCACAAAGCATCCCTGAGAAATTGAGCATACAGATTCACTATATCCTTTCATTTCTTCCTAGTTCCTGATGGTCAAATGGAGCCAAAGAGAAGCAAAACTTAGAGAGTCTAAGACTAAAATCCACAGCAATAAAAAATATTCCGCCAAATTCAAACCTAAATTTTCATACTCCATACATATTCACAGATTCCTCTTTCTCCCTAACCTTACAATGCGAAGAACTCAGATCAGATAATAATGGCAACTGATATGCTCAAATACGAACATCAGATATAAGTAATTCTCCGATTGAAATGTTGATTAATCCAACGATACCAGAACGAAATTTGGGTGAAATTAGATCAAAGAGGAAGAAACTCACCACATGACGGCGCACAAGCCCTTGCCGGTGACTACATGCCACCGCTTCGGGTGATGCAGAGTCACTCCCTTGTAGGTTGTGCTTCCTCCATGCCCACCTCCCATCTCCTCTCTCTCTTTTCCTGCAAATCGCAAATGGTACGAAATTCGCAATGTTCGAATCGGGAGGAAGACGATATCGATTCAACAATCCCAGCCGTCAGATTCCAACATTACAATCCACACAAAATGGTCAGCCGCACCGGATTATAATCCTCACTGGTGGGCTTAATTTCTAAGGCCCAACTTCACCAACCAACGCAAGCCCATTCAAAAAGTTCTCCGACCGCATGAACATAAGGCTCTGTGGTCCTGGCCACATATCAAAAAGTTGGTAGTAGTAAATTGACTATCAAAAACATTTTAAAGAAATTAACAATCTGTGGGTTGGAGAGTAGAAAGTGACTTTCCTTTAAATAAAATTTTAAATTTTGAATATCATGAATGAACAAATAATTATTAAGCGTATTTTTTTATGGGATTTGATTTACTTTTATTTTAAATTATTTAAGATTTAATGTAATTGCGAAGAAGTTAGAAACAAAAATATTTTTTAAAAAATAACATAATCCACGTGGGGAATTAGAAACAGCCACGTGTTCAAAAAAACTCCAATTTAAGCCAATCGAACGGTTGTGATTGGTCGCGAAAAAGTTCCCTGCCATTGTAAACTAATATCAGTGACAGTTCGACAGGTTCCGCTTATTTAGTCAGAAAACCTTAGCTACACAGTGAAGCAGCAATGACGGAAAGCAGGAATTTAACGATTGATCCGAGAAGTGGATTTTGCAGATCAACGTCGATCTTCTACAGCAAACGCAAACCCATTCCTCTGCCGCCGAACCAGTCCTTGGATGTCACCACGTTCATCTCTTCTCAGGCTCACCGTGGCAAGATCGCCTTCATCGATGCTGCCACCGGCCGCCACCTCACCTTCTCGGAACTCTGGCGAGCGGTTGACTCTGTCGCCACGTATCTTTCTGACATGGGAATCCGAAAAGGCCACGTCGTTCTCTTGCTTTCTCCAAACTCAATCTTCTTCCCCGTCGTTTGCCTCTCCGTCATGTCCCTCGGTGCTATTATCACCACGACTAACCCTCTCAATACTCCTTCTGAAATCAAGAAACAAATCGCAGATTCGAAGCCGGTTCTCGCGTTTACTATTAGCCAACTCGTCCCCAAAATTGCCGGCTCAAATCTCCCCATCGTGCTTCTAGACGGACAGGTAATTAATAATAGCCTGCGCGAATCGAGAATTGTTTCAACGTTGGATCAGATGATGAAGAAGGAACCGAGTCAGAGCAGATTCCGGGAACGAGTTGACCAGGACGACACGGCAACTCTGCTTTACTCATCTGGCACAACCGGCGCTAGCAAGGGAGTGGTAACGTCGCACAGAAGTCTAATCGCGATGGTACAGACAGTATTGAAGAGGTTCCCTCAAGATGATCAGAATACGTTCATCTGCACCGTTCCGATGTTCCACATCTACGGCCTGGCGGCTTTCGCCACCGGGCTACTGACCGCAGGATCGACGATAGTGGTTCTGTCCAAGTTCGAGATCCACGATATGTTCTCGGCAATCGAGAAGTACCGGGCAACGTTCCTACCGCTCGTGCCGCCGATTCTGGTAGCGATGATTAACGGCGCCGATCAGATTCAGAGGAAATACGATTTGACTTCGTTGAGTAACATTCTTTCTGGTGGGGCGCCGCTGAGCAAGGAGGTGATCGAAGGGTTTTTGGAAAAGTATCCATCGGTTACGATTCTTCAAGGGTATGGTTTGACTGAGTCAACAGCGGTTGGTGCGTCAACAGACACACTGGAGGAGAGTCGGAAGTATGGCACGGCGGGGTTGTTGTCGCCGAGCATGGAGGCCAAGATTGTGGAGCCTGATACCGGCAAGGCGTTGGGAGTTAATCAGACGGGTGAGCTTTGGCTCAGGGGTCCAACCATCATGAAAGGTATGGTTCAATGAGATACCAATATACCATTAAAAATTTAAAGTAACTAGCTTTTAGCCTTCTTTTTTAAATGCATCTATTAGCATACTGGAGATCTTGTGACTTAAAAATTGATGTTTATAGCATCTGGGCTTAGAGACCCACTGGCATTAGCCCAGCTTAAAAATTGATGTTTATAGCATTTGGGCTTAGAGACCCACTGACATTAGCCAGCGTGTTAGGTGTATTCCCCTCTTTTGGTCGGGTTTCAACCTGCTCCATGTTAAAATGTTCAAAAAACAAAAAAAAAAAAAGTGATGTTTATATAATCTAAAGATTCTGACAAACAAATATATACCGCAGCCCCACCGACAAGAAAACACCGACTCATACTCTAATTGGCTCCAATAAAGGGTGTTTGGTAAAGGTTGAAAAGTATTTGTTTTTAAAGCAGCAGTATCTCTCACAAGATTAAAATTTTATTAGAGGAAAATTCAAAAATTATCTTTTAAAATAAGCTTTAAGTGAAATTTTTAAAATTTATTTAAAACTCACTTAAAAAATTAGTTATAAGTATTTTTCTCTAATAACATTTTAAATTTGTGGGAAAAATAGAATTTTTAAAATAAATATTTTTAAAATTTTGTCAAACACTCTTCAGAGCCAGCAATGAAGAAGCTAATTTTGAAAAGCTAAAACAAACACACGTGAAACATAAACATATGTATTTGAAGTACATACTTCTAATTTAAATACCTGTTCTCAAACTCAACTTTGACAATTTTATGATTTTTATCTGTTATATATTGTAGGTTATTTCAGTAATGCAGATGCTACGGCGTCTACTCTTGATTCAGAGGGATGGTTGAAGACTGGAGATGTTTGCTACATTGATGAGGATGGCTTCATTTTTATAGTTGATAGGCTGAAGGAGTTAATTAAGTACAAGGGATATCAGGTACCAAATGGTTGAAAATTGTAGCCCTCTGACTTTGTGTAATGAATGGATGAACCAAATAAGCTTATGTTTTTTTTATTATAATATATGTAGGTCCCTCCTGCAGAACTAGAGGCATTGCTGCATACACATCCTGAAATCACTGATGCTGCTGTCATACCGTAAGTCTTTCTCCTTTAGGTTGGGTAACTTGTATGCTTAAGATTTCAGGCAAAGTGACCGGGAAATGGCACCCTAGAAATGGTTGTTGGTGTTGGGTAATTGCCATTTCCTGAGAATTGGCTTTCCTTTGGTTAGCTTCCTGGGTAAATGGTTCAGAATAATCAATTATTGTTCATTGAATAACTTATTGGAACGCAGATGTATACATGTTCTTCAGTTTCTATTGAAAATGTGGGGGGAAAGGCCTTAATTTGCTTATGTTATGTGCAGGTTTCCTGATAAGGAAGCTGGGCAGTATCCCATGGCATATATAGTGAGAAAACCTGGAAGCAATTTATCAGGGAATGAATTGATGGATTTTGTAGCAAGACAGGTATGTATAAAGTGCTTTACAAGGAATGAATCGAGTAGAATATGTATGCATCCCTTTTAACATGTTGATCTTTATAATAATATATACAGGTTGCCCCATACAAGAGAATTCGGAAAGTAGCATTTGTGGATTCTATACCAAAGAATCCTTCTGGAAAGATTCTCAGGAAGGATCTAATCAAGCTTGCAACCTCCCAAGAGTCCAAACTGTGATATGTGGTTGTATCAGTTTTTACGTTGGAATTTCTTTGTTTGTCTGGTGCATATTGGAGCAGAAGCTAGAGTAATTACTTCCTGTTGGTCATTACTATTACTACTAGAAGTGAAGCCATATACGATTTGTAGAATGTTTTTGTTCCAATTAATAAGCTGAAATATGCCCTAAAGTTGCATCTTTCTGTGATTAAATGTTCCTTTTTGGTCAGTTTTCAGAGAATTTCCTGTTTGAAAAGTATGAGACAAATGCAGTTTTCTTAATAAGCGTATCTTCCTTTTCTCTTTAGAAGTTGGGTTTTGGATCTCCATCTTTTAAAGTAAAGTTTGCAATTTTGAATTTTAGTGTTCAATAAGTTTTGTCAATTTTTAGAGTTTTTTATAATTGTTTTATATGTTATTGTTATAAATCAAGCATTTCTTCAAGAAATTCCACTCACAACACTCTTTGCAAAAGCTCC